GTGGTGCAATTCAGGACATTTTTGCAGAAAATGATAGCTTCGAATTCAATGAAGACAACCCGCCAGAGTTACTGACTGAAAACAATATTGTTGTTCCTGTAAATGACTTTATTTTAAATCAAACTGTTATAAACAGAATTAGAGAAACTGTAGACCCGCTTATTGATGATGGCAACTATGGCATGCAATTATTTACTGAACTGATACATTTTGTTAGTGGACAGTAACAAAGTTTCTTGTGTGAATTGTTTTGTTAACACATGAATGTTTAGTGGTTGCATTTATATAACACTAAACACTTTGTCTCACAACAGGAAAAAAATAAACAATATAATGTAATATTACTATTACAATGTGAGGAGCTTGCATCAATTGCATTTTTATTGAAGATGGCTAACCATTCAAAGGAACAAAACTACAGTAACTCAAATGTTACTGAAACATACTCAATAGGTCACATATGCTCACCACATTATTCTTTACCAAAACCCTGTGTGTTATCGAATGCAAAGTCCATACTCTCCACGAAATCCTCATACGTGTCAAGCACCGGCAACTTAAGGCAGTTGATGCAGGTGTTAGCCATTGGCAAACGGTGTCTGGAGCTGACAAACTGATCATGCAGGAAATCGATAGATGGTTGAGGGGAGAAGCCAACTGGAGGGATGATAGCTGCACCTGTTGCAAAAGCTAGGATTTTACCTAGCTTTGAGGATCCCACTTGGTCTAACACACACACACACACACACACACACACACACACACATCAAGCAAACAAAGAGAACAACGAGAATTTATAACAATCACACCAAAAAGTTAAAAGTGCCATATAGAAAGCCATAAAAGAATGGAATGAATGACAAAGCAAGAGATGAAAGAGAAGCCATAGATACGTAGGGGCCAGAATAAAAGGCAACGTGTATGGAATTGGTGAAAAAAAGTTATAATCTACCAAAATATTTATATAAACAAAATTCAATTATATAGATGACATCAGTAAAAAGAAAGACGGCAAAGAGACCACTTACGTAGGCAAAAATTTACAAATTGGCTCAGGAAATGTTAGGAAAAAACAAACTAAATATTTTCTCATACCTAAGTGTATCCTATCTAGCTTCTACATTTACCTTCCACATCCTGCAGGTAATCCCTCCAAAAAGGGACAACACATTCCTCTGCACTTCTCTTGTTGCTTCCCACTGGAGACAGCCGGATTTCAAAAAGGTGATCCATCAAGTCAGCAGTTAGTGGGGATGGTTCATGGCACATTAAGGATCTAAAACTGTCTGGATGCATTCTGATTGCATCCAGAATACCAAGAGTCTTCAGCCCCTCCTTAAATTTTTCAAAACAAAACATTTTAAGATAAAAAGACAAATAAAACAAAAGCTAGAATCCAAGATGTCAGCAGAAGTTAGAATCCAATCTTAGATTTTCATTATTATAATTATTATTATTTCATGACATTGTATGCCTAGTATACAGCATTTAGGATAGACAGCTTTGGCTTTACAAAATTAAAACATACAGTAAATGTTCAATGTTCTGTAACTGGATTAAAGCAGAGGAACATGTTAGAAAATAAAAAAAGAACAAAACAATAGTGAAAAGCAGTGTTTAATAAACCTTTCAAATGCTCCACAGACTCTGTGAATCACTTGAAACATGAGGATATCAACCAGTTGAACCTCGGTCATCAATGGATTTTAATGGCCTTAGACACCCAGCATTGGCCAGGTAATCTTTCAGTGGGTCAATGGTTTGTATAAGACCATCCAAAGTCCTACAATCAGACAACTAAAAACACCACACACAACAGAAAGCATGAAACTAAAGTTAGTATAGTTTAACAAAAATTCACTTACAGCTCAACATCATACCTTTGAATCAACTCTCTAAAACAACAAATGTCAAACATTATGACCTTGCTAAACCTAGGATTTATTGCAGGGGTGTTGGATTAGACTGCATTAGTTTTAGGGATTGGGAAGTGAGTGAATACTGATAATGTATTTACCGTTTTTCAAAGAGATCTGCATCAGCAATGTCTTCTAAGACAGGCTTTACTGTGGAATTTCCTCCAACTAGATGAGTGTACAGTGTTGGTGCAATGAAACCTGGTGGGGGACCGCCATGGACAAGACTCACAGCAATGGCCCGGCCCGCAAAAACATAACGATCTTCTCTTAAAGCTAAAGTAGACAAAGGGAGAAGAGAACAAGGAATACAACTGATAGCATTAAATCAAGAAGAACTAACACCGAGAAAAAGGGGTATCAATAACTAGACAAAAAATAACACACATACCTGAACTGTCCAAGGCCAAGTTTAATTTGTTGTTTCTTCCTTCAAACATTGGTGACAGTGGCAAGGCTTCCATGAGCAACCGTAAAAATTCTCTCCTGGGGCCCCCAAGGTCCACAGCCTCTTCATCCATTCCCAAGTCATCTGAAAACTTGATGCACATCTGGTACTTGGGATTATATGACACTCGTCTGAACCCCTGCACAGCACCATCAAGTACTGAAGACCTATTAATGTTGAATCTGCATTTTTGTTTACTCTCAATTTGGGATGCAAGATTGAGAAGCACCTCCTGTGCTGATAAAGTGTTTGGTTGTGGAGATGTCCTGTTAAAAGTAAAAAAAAAGAAATATAAATATAATATATTGCCTCAGCAAGCTTCAATAAAGACAACAAAAATTATAATACTTGTGATATAAGCTTAAAGGTTAGGTATTTACAAATGCACTTTACTACCAATTCATGCAGAAAATAAGCTAAAAAGGCTACTAACTTTTTCTTACCACAGTATTTCTAATAATACTGCAGACAAAACAATATATTAATCAGTGACTTACTCGTGACTTTCAAGACTGGCAATAATAGCTTGATTTAATTCTTCATCATCAGAAGAAAGGTCTGAGATGGAACCCATGATTGAAAGATAGGCAGCATAGTTGATGGAGTCTGGTCCACTCTGGCATCAATAGCCAGGTTCATGACATTGGATGCTTGTTGTGTTGCAGAGATCTGGGTAGCTGTTGGTGTGAAACTGCTGGATGCTGGCTGTGCTGCACAGATTTGGGTAGCACTGGGTGCAAAATCACTGGCTGCCTGATGTGTTTCAGAGGTCTGGTTAGTGTGAGGATACCCACTGTCCCTTCTTGTGTATGAATAATGAGAAATCTGCTGTTTTGAGGCAATTTGGATTCCCCTGGCTCTTGTAATCATTCCGTCAGGAGAGGCTGATGCAGTGTCAACTTCCACACAACTTTCCTCTGAATCTGTGCTGTCAAACTAAAACACATCAGAAATAACCATTTAGAAAAGTATGGGGCTAAGGACGTTGTTAAAGTTGTTTCAAGTTTCCCTTGAAATATCTTACCGAAAATGGAAGATTACTTGACGGCCTAATGTACAGTTCCTGACCCTCACACAACTTTGGGGAAACCAGTTTGTTTCCACAAGGCATCAAAATTTCAATACTATAAAAATAAACAAGACTAAATCAATTTCAAAACAGCAAGCATGCAGTGTAGCAAGCAACCAGTGTAATAAGATGTAATAGAATATGCAATTTATTAATATTGTAACTATTTTTTTCTAGATCTAAGATTTTATTTAAATGTATTTTTATATTGTATTATATTGTACTGTTCTTGTCTTGCCGTCTCTGTGTGCAATCATGGCATGTGGTAATTTCCTCTGGGATCAATATTATGTTAAGAAACATATTAATATAAAAGTATTATAATTCTGATATAATACCTGACATCCTCATGAATTATTTCCTTGAATGCTTCTCTTGTCTTTGCAATGACTGTCCTGAAGTCCCATGCCTTTCTTATTTCAAAAGCATTTAGAACAAAGCCTCTTTCATGAAGTTTTCTTTGTGTTTTGTGTTTGCAAACACTGTCCCATGCAGACTCAGGTAATAGTATGACATCTTTGTTGAAGGTCGGATGATTTGGGGCAGTAGGCCTAAAAAGAACACATTATCAATAGTCACTTGACAAACAAAGCACCTTAAAAATCAAGACAACATAATCATATTAAGCAACGTACAGTAACTCATAACACTATCTCAATAAATAATGAATAACATTCTTTCTTTAACAAACGGTTGCCGATCGGACATGCCAAGACTATACTGAATGTGCCACAATGCGAGTTATTTGATGTATAATGACACAAATAAGTTAAGAGGTTTTGCAAAGACACAGAATATTGGTGTTTTTACACAATGGTTTTATGAGTTAAACTGAAATGTTTGTAACAGTAACACTTTGTGTCAGGAATATTTTGTTAACTTTTATCATGAATTTTATGAATTTGTTTATCTCTACTTAAATTCAAATTCAAATTCATTTTTCTAATAGAAGTGTATAATGGCTGTTAGACTATAATAAACCTTAACATTTCACTGTCTAGGCGTATAAGTGGCACGAACTGTAGTTTCAAACCGTACAAATAATATACTAAATGACCTATTAAATGAGCGCGTTTTGTAAATTATGCCTTTTAAGTGTTTTAAGGAAAGGAAACACTACCATATTAAGTTTGAGGCTACGCAGTGATATCACTATAGGGCTAAGTGTCGATTCGAGGCTAACTTAGGATCGACCATTACCTTTATTTTTACCAATCGGTATACAGTGGTACCTCGGTTCTCGAACTTAATGC